AACCATTTAAACATTAATTCTTAGTACTGAAGTTAAGGGAAACACCTAAACTAACTGATAAACCTACCTTATGTTAAATTTAGCACAATCTAAACAGAGAAACAAGTAGTTGCAGCAATACATAAGCAATGTGCAGCAGTTTGTGCATTTCCCTTTCACCAAGTCCCGTCTTCAAGCTGACTGACAACGGAAACCCAGCTGTTAACTTCTCCTGCATACTTCCATCCTTCACAAAGTAAATTTACCTGACTACCGTTCCACATAACAATTGATCCGCCTCTTAGATCTTGTTCCGTTGTTGAATACTGTGTGTCATATGGAAGTGTCTCTAAGATCCCTTGCACTGCACCATTAGATGTGAGCCGTGAATTAAATAGAAAAATAACGTCCGCCAAATTCCTAGCACGTAAGTCCATTACTGCATTTGCAAAATGATCTCTTTGGGCGTTTCTAACATTCCATATGACAATAGATACCGGTTTAAAGCTCCCAATCACCAAATCTTCAGCCACTGTCCTGTTCCTATAATCTCAACAACGAAATTCATCTCTTCCATTGGTACGGTGGAAGACCAAACACAATTCAATTGCACTGCACATACATCTTGTTGTGTTTGGATTTTGGTTATGAAAAGCTCATTTGGTGGCACTATGTACCTCAGCTTATCATTTTTCCCCAAAAGTTGTGTGCCCACACTTTCACTGCTTATTAAGTCCTCCCATAACAGTCCCCCTTGGCTAGCGATCTGAATGTACTTTTGTAGCATGAGGCAGCAGTGGGCGAATCTCTCTTCCTCATCTTGCAATTTCAACCAGTGAGATGCTTCAACTCCAATGTTTCCAACCAACCGCGGAAGGAACAAACTTATCACTTTCATCCTATGTTCATCTCTAACCACTTTGAAAGGCGTTCTCAACATCTGCTCATCCGCGGCAGTGTGTTCTTTGAGCAGCTGAAGGCTCATGCCTGGGAGCTGGTTATCATCCTCAACCAACAATCCCAACGACACTAACCAATTTTCATGCAACCAAAACTCCAGTGCTACCTCCTGAAAATGTTTTGACTGAATGAAGCGTATGGCATCAGTGAACCATATAGCTCTAAATTGTCGGCGAATGCTTTCCAGATTTGCAAGCTGAGCCCGGACAACAGTCATCTCAGTGGAGTTCATGGTGTGATGGAAATGGGCAATTATTTCCTCCATGGATCTCATTTTCATTTCGCAATTGGTATCTTTGGATGGAAAGATGAATTACAGATGCATTAAAGGTTGAGGGAGAGGGACAATTTTGATTTGCGTTTTGGGAAAGAAAAATAACACTCCAAAGAGAACCCTTTAAAAAATTCTTGTGTTTTAACTGTGGAGTCATCGAAATATTTTAATTTTTACCCCATAACTTGCAGACCAATTGTAGGGACACTTGCCAATTGCACTCTCCAACCAATACTTCCATTTTCATTGGCCCACGTTATTTTGGATTTTGTTAATTGCTCATTTCATGGCTGGCAAGCTTACGTGGGCCACTTTTACTTAAGGCATGAATATGGAGAGTGCATGAATTGTCATCCAAATTGATTGTATTATGATGGATGGATTAGTAGATAATGATATGAAATGCCTTATACACATTTAACTATTTTGTAATTAAAATTTTTTCCCCAAAAATTATAAAATGATTAAAGTGTGAATTGGTTGTCAGGGCATGAAGAAGTGAAAGCACTCCTTAGTTATGAGTAATACAGATAAGAGAAGAATATGGGAAAAATGAAGCAAATGGAGAAGATAGAAGGAAGTATAAAAATGTTAATATTGATGATTTTTCCACTCACTAACTCTTTCTCTTCTCTCTTCTCAACTGTTTCCACTTACTAACTATTTTGATCATTGTGTATGAAAAAAAAATTTACTTCTTTTTTTTTTTTTCGAGGAAAATTTTTTTACTTCTTTAAAGTATAAATATAATTGCAAGTGAATATTGATGATTTTTCAAAGGTTCAATTTAAGCCTTTTCAAGGCTCTGGAGAGAAGGTGCGTTTTTGGCAGGATGCTTGGGTAGGGGATGCCCCACTTATTAGCTCTTGTAATGAGCCTCCTACTCTCCCCTCTGCTGGTATCGGAGACCATTAATTCAAACAGGGAATGGAATCTTGAACTCTTGCATGAATTGGTTCCAGCAGAGACAATGGAAAAGATAAGAGCAATTCCACTGTCTCATAATTCACAGCTACAAGATGGCGTTTTCTGGGCCAATTCAATGGATGGTTTATTTATTGTCAACTCTGCTTATCAACTTGTACAAGCTAAGATGGCCCTTTCAATGTTGCTAGCAATTCTGCAAGTGCAGGGGGTCTAATTAGAGATTTCTTAGGGAATTGGATCTTTGGTTTTGTGGTTAACGTTGGCTGTGCATCCATTTTTCTGGTAGAATTATGGGGTCTTCCAGAAGGACTCAAGTTATCACTTGGAATTGTGGTTAATGTTGCCTGTGTTAAATTTTCTATTTTATTTCAAATATTACATGATTTTATAATTCAATATTCACATCGATTCTTATTGAAAACATTAAATTAGTTATTAATAGGTTATAAATTTAATTTGCAATATAATTATTGAGATTCTTATTGAAAAGTTATATTTATTAACTTACACTTTAATCATACATTTACTTTAATACATTTATAATAGAAAGGGTTTCAATAAACGAATCATAAAAATGTTTCTCATAAATTTTTATGAAAATATCAAACTTCACATATAAATTCTCATAAATGTATTACACATATTAAAATATCAGTTCACATGGAAAATGAATCAAACTTCATTATTGATTAAAAGAGACGGTAACCTTTAATATCCCCTCTATTTTGATTTTTGTGACAAAACTTTTAGTCTTGCCTCTTAAATGCTGAGTTTCTGAATTGATTTCCTTCTAAGCATCACGGCTTTCAACCCAAAACCTTCCTTCTAAAAGAATCCCTTCAAACGAAACCCCGAACTCCGCTGTTTTCGAACAATCCCTTCAAAACGAAAGCTCGACCTCCATTGTGTCCCTTTTCATGTACTGCAACTGTTTCACAGTTCGAAATTAAAGTGTGACTGTGGCCTCACATCCGCAATCCTTAATGTATTTAATTAAGTGCTAAGATTGTGGAGTTGGAAATAATGTAATAGATTTATTGCCTGTTTACTGTTATTCCAATCTATCTGGGAATATTATGGTGTAACTGTATCAATATTTATCACAATATTGAATGTAATAGTTTTGCAAGTATAATATTCTTATCCAGTACCATTTTAACATATTTCCCAGCTTAATGTGCTAATTACTTAGTCGAATGACAATAGTATAATACAAAGGAATAGATATAGATGAAGGTAGAATAATATTCAAGGAATTAAGATGCTAAAAGAAAGATTAATTACAAATAAATGACTAAGTTGTAAAAAAAATATAGTTAAATATCAAATTAATACAAAAAGATAGGAATAATTAATCAAACCTTTTTTTTTTTTTGGTAGTTTGTATTATATTAAATATAATACTGAAATCAATTTTAACATTATAATTAAACCTTAATTAAAATTTAGATCTTCAAATTTTTAATGCTTATAATTTTGAGATAATTTATTAATTGTAAGTTTAAATGATTGAATTATAATAAGTTATATTATAATTTTGATACTTTCATATTCAAATATTTGACACAACAAAAATAAAAACCTGTGCGGAGCATTAATTTGTATATGTACATGCGATATTGAGATTTAATGAGAGCTATAAAATCTTGCCATATTTTGCTTTCCAAATCATTTTTCCAACATGAATAAATATTGAGATAAGGATATACTCTTCACATTTATTATTGATTTCTTGAAGGTATTGCTCTCAAATTGAATTTATCATGGTCAAGAATGTGGTTTGCTTGTGACGCTGTCTTTAATACATTAGGTCTTTAATCTGAAGTTGGTTTCATGTGATCAAATTCAAGATTCGTGTATGTGAGTCATTAACTTACTCTTTTATCTTGAATCTCGAAATAACCCAATTTAAAAAACCTGAAATCCAAGATGGCTTAATCCAAATCGACTGAATCCGATCTGTTTTTCAAGTTAATTTTTTATAAAACTGTATATCACACTTATATTTTTATAAGTAAAATTTTCTATTTTTATATCAAACATTACATGATTATATAATTCAATATTCATAGGGGTTCTTATTGAAAACATTAAATTAGTTATTGATAGGTTATAAATTTAATTTGCAATTCAATTATATTGTTTAATTTAGAAGTTATATTTATTAAGTTGGGGTTGAATCATACATTTACTTTAATTTATTTATAATGAAAAGAGTTTCAATAAACGAATCATAAAAATGTTTCTCATAAATTTTTATGAAAATTTCAAACTTCATTTATAACTTACTATAAATGTACTACATATAAAGAAACGGCAACTTTAATATCCCCTCTATTTTGATTTTTGGGACAAAACCTTTAATCTCGCCTCTCGCCTCTTAAATGCTGAGTTTTTTAATTGACTTCCTTCTAAGCGTCACCGCTTTCAAACCAGAACCTTCCTTCTGAAAGAATCCCTTCAAAA